ACCTTAGACCTGAGACCTGAGACCTGAGTCCTGCGAGGCCCTGAAGGCTGAGATCTCTATCGCTTGTTCTGGTGATGAACAGCCTCAATAAACGACATTCAAATTTATTTACACACATATTTGTTATTTACACAGTACCGAACAGTTTTAGTGTCGCAATAGTCTACACCCTGCTGGCTGCTGCTATGTATCTATTCATTTTAGTAGGCTCGGGACATTGTCAGCACTTTTCTATAAATAAATAAATACCCCAAAGACAAAAGAGAGAGAGCAGTCAGCGCCTCAGCCCTCAGGCTCAGGGGAGCCGCCAAAGACTCAGAGTCTCCTGTATATTTAGTTATCCGGGACTCAGAGTCCGGGGTGGCTGTCTCCTCAGTAGAGAGAGAGTTGTGCTCACCAGCCACCATTCATCAGTCGCCACTCACCTCTCACTACCAGACACCATTCTCAGTCCTGAGTCTCACCACCGGGGACACACACAAGAGGTGGGTCAAAATATCTAAAACTCCGAGTCCTATATATGTATTTATATTATTGTATATGCAGTATACTTTACCGGTCACCTGAACTTTACTTTCGGGGCCGGTCCGGATCTAGCGGATTTCGAGGCAGCAGACTTTCCAACCGGCTTCAGCCTTCGGTCCTTCACTCACTCTGGGGTGACCTGGTCCTGGGGCCTGGGCTCCCGTTCCCCGCGTCCCGAGTCCCCGCCCATGACTAATTTATTGTAAAAAAGCAATATAAAAATATTTTAGTCCACCAACACTCTGACTCTGGGCCCCTGGGGTGAGTGGGGAGTGTGACCACTGGTCGCTGTGTATTTTAAACTTCAACTTGTCTGTGCTCTCTCGTGTGTTGGAAAGGAAAAGCGAAACAAAAAGGGTACGAGTGCTAGTGAAGGGAATCAGTCTTCATTGTCGTATCTCTGAATGTGTGTACAAGTGTATACGTGTTTATATACGAGATAAGGTTCACAGTATATCTGGGTTAATAGAATCCAGAGGCACATATAGGTCGGCTGACAGTGTAGTTTGTGTATTAAAAGCCCGTCGGTGACGGCGCTGGTCCACCATGTCGAAACGCAGGGTGGCCTACTTCTATGAAGGTATGTATCGCGCAGCGTATTACTTGTATGTCTACTTTCATAACGGTAACTATATCATATATGTGTCTATTCCTAGTCTATGAAGGTAAGTATATCATCTGTGTATCTACTTCTGTGAACATGTATACGTCACGTGTGCTTTTACGAATGTATATATTTCTTGTGTACCTCCCCTAGTGTCAAAGAAGGTAAACTTATCACTTTTATATCTGCCTCTATCAACGTGAATATAATACATTACTCGAAGAAGGTAAACGTATTACTTGTATATATGTTTCTATGAACGTGAATGTAATATATTTCTTTTACATTTATGGATATGAAGGTGAATATGTCACTTGTACATCTACTTCCTGGAAGGTAACCGATTCAATCGTATGTATACCTTGTTAATGGTATGATGGTAAACATTATTTGGTTGTTTGTTAAACGTATCCCTTGCGTTTCTATATGTACTTAAATACATCACTTATGCGTTTACTTCTGAAGATATAATCATCATTTGGTTGTTACCTATGACGGCAACTGTTTGGCGTGTGTTTCTCCTCATATAAACGTAAAATTATATTGCTTGTCTGTCTACTACTATGCATCCGAACAGATTTTTATAAATTGCATGTCTACCTAAATGAAAATGAATATATTACTTGCACGTTTACTTCATTGGAAGTATATAATTTGTGTTATCATCGACATCTGTACGAAAGGTTGGTGGTGTGAACTGTTTTGCAAATAGCATACACTTGCGAGAACATGAATTGAAGTCAGTACACATAGTACGGTTTTGGGTTTTATGCTGCGTTCTTGTATAGTATTGTAGCACCTGTGTAAGGACTGGTATGAATCAGATTTCTTTTTCTTGATACCAATATCGGACTACTTGGCAAGTGTGTATGTATATAGATTTGACCATAAACATACAGCCGCACAGGGGTAAGATCTCTTTGATCGAACGCCATCTCAATTTGTAATAGACGTTCTGATCGTTAAATTTTCAACCTGTGGACAGATTCATGACGAAACCTAGCTATTGCAATATTTTGTGCCAAACTGTTTTATCATTCCTTGTCGGGAACTAACTTTCCGCCTCTGGTTGCGACAGCAACAAGGAAGATATTTAATACAGCCCTACGTATATGATCTGAAGTTTTACTGACTCGCTTAACACAATCCTCCCGTCTCCTTACAGCCGATGTGGGTAACTACTACTACGGCTCGGGCCATCCCATGAAGCCGCATCGCATTCGCATGACCCACAACCTGCTGCTCAATTATGGGCTTTACAAGAAAATGGAGTTATTTGTAAGTACATGCTCGCTGGAGTGGGTTGTATATATTATACAGAGCACGCCCATCTGTAATATCGAGCAACTTCTGCGATGCGTGTGCAATTATGCTTCTTTAGCTTATAAGGTATCACATAAGGTTATACTCGAAATGGGAAGACATTCTTCTATTGCTTGTAAATGTACCTTTATGATATACCTGGCAACCCCCAACATGTGCACATACATGCTATCCTCGTGTGTGAGGGTGTCGATACGAAACGGGCAAGCGTAGAATCGTGGGACAGTGGCGCTATATGTTATGGTTGTAATTACTTGCCTATAGCAGCGCCTTAGCCAGTCTTTCAGACCCGCTGAGGTCTTTAGTTCGTTAGGCTTGTAGGTATTAGACTTGCAACTTTTATACCTTTCTGGCTATATTTAGGTGTATGTGTATTATTACAATGCTGTGCAAATAACAGGATACTATACTTGGCTCGATACAACTATCTGCCCCGACGCTTATGCGCGTATGTGTATGCCTATGATGAAATGCGAGTTTGTGTTCAGGTTCGTTGTAGACAAGAGTGTATGCTGTGAGGGTATGTACTCCCTTTGTGGTTTTAATTAAGAGCTTAGATGACTTCTTTGGCATTATTATCAAGTGATTTCCTAACATGAATAATGAAGAAGAAGAGTTCGTAGATGCACTCAATGCATATAATGTAGTACCGTCAAATCTAGCTGGAATCAATTATAACAGAAGCTCTGGGCAATCATCAACGACGATACAAATCAGAGCTGTGAAGTATGTCGCCCCTGCATGTTTAGCACGTACTCACACCCAACCTACTATTGTATTCCCACAGTATACTACCGTTTAAATTCCTATTGCATTCACACAGTATACTTGCATCTGGACTTCCCACGGTTCACACAGAACACTACAATATGAGTTTTCAATTCTTCGCATAGTATACTACCGTCTTGATCTACAATGTCTTCACACAGTATCGTACTGTCTGAATTTCCAATGCTTCCACACAGTACTACCGTCTAAATTTATACTGCTTTCACACCAAAAGCGGCCTCCGCGTGCGACCTTTGAGGAGATGACACGCTTCCACTCGGACGACTATATCAACTTCTTGCGTCTGGTCACGCCGGAAAACGCAGCGGATAGTCAGAAAAGCATGGACCGCTTCAACGTGAAGGAAGATTGTCCCGTGTTTGCGGGATGCTACGAGTTCTGTGAGATCTCGGCGGGTGGAAGTATAGCGGGCGCCATGAAGCTGAACAAGCGCGACTCGGATATTAGTATCAATTGGGCCGGAGGTCTGCATCACGCGAAGAAGAGCGAGGCCAGCGGGTTCTGCTACGTGAACGATATCGTGCTAGGGATTCTGGAGCTACTGAAGGTACTTGTAGATAGTGGATTCTGAAAAAAAAATAGATTTATGTATTAATTCATGTGTTTGTGTGTACATCTGGTGTTCTGCAATTTACTGCTGGTGAGCATAGGGGGTGGATTCCGAACCTATACACTGGTTTACGTTTATAAAAGTGCGTGTTTTTAAAAATCATTATTATCAAGATGAATGTGCGAAAAAAGTTTGTAGCTGTTGTTGGCACACGCGACCTTGGTTAGAGGATCTTTTAGCTGTCAATTGGGGGAGCTTGCCAGGCTCAAATTGTTCTAAATTATACCATACATTAAGAATTACAATTCTTTAACACATTCTTTTGTCGAAACTATGAGTGTACTGTGTTGCACCTGCACTTGTGTATGTCTATGCTTTAGTACGCACTTACGATAGGTACCACACGAATGCTTTTATTAACTGATCTGCTGACCTTGTGATGTTTGCATAGTAGTTGATGTTCTATAGTGTTGCAAGAGTACCGGTTTTATATCTTTGTAGCCAGTATATTTCAAAGCCTTTTTTTTTGGCAAACTATTCTAACGAACAACCCCAATTTGGGTCTTGTTTGCTCATAGTATTATTCTGCAAGTATATCCAGGATGCTGTATATACACGTATTTACAAATCAATCACGACATTTGACTCCCACTGACACATTATTCTCATCCTCCCCCCCCCTCCAAAAATAACTGCACGACAGGAGCATCAGAGGGTGCTGTACATAGACATAGATATCCACCACGGTGACGGTGTGGAGGAAGCTTTCTACACCACCGACCGGGTCATGACGCTATCATTCCACAAGTACGGCGACTTCTTCCCGGGCACAGGAGATCTGCGCGATGTGGGGGCGGCCAAGGGAAAGCACTACTCTCTCAATTTTCCACTCAAGGACGGGGTGGACGACGATACGTTCCTCGACATCTTCAAGCCCATTGTGGATCGAGTCATGGAGTGGTACAGGCCCGAGGCTATTGTGCTACAGTGTGGTGCCGATTCGCTGGCTGGAGATCGCTTGGGCTGCTTCAATCTGTCTTTGAAGGGACATTCTGGCGCGGTTAGGCATGTCAAGGGGTTGAATGTGCCTCTTCTATTACTGGGTGGGGGTGGATATACCATTCGCAATGTGGCGCGTGCGTGGTGTTATGAGACGGCCATTGCCCTGGATACAGAGGTCTCGCGAGCCTTGCCGCACAACGACTACTACGAGTATTTTGGCCCGGACTACAAACTGGAGGTGCCCTGCAGCAATATGGAGAATCAGAACAGCAGACAGTATCTGGAGAAAACAAGGTGTGTTGATGTGTAACTGATGGGTTGGCTGTAGATGAGAGGAATTAATGATGTAACTCGCACAGACAGAGGTGGCTTTGTTGGCGTGCATATGTATATACTCGTAATTACACACACACACACATATATATATATCTA